GAAATCACACATGTGAATTGCTGACACACAGCAGACACTCAGTAATGCTTGCTATTGTAATGAGACGTGGCACGGCTGGGAGCCAGCCTGTCCAGGTTTGAGTTCTGGCTTCATCACCTCCCAGTAATGTGAGCTTGGACATGTTTTACAATCATCTTTGTGCCTCAGTTTCCTCCTATGAAAAACGTAAATAGCAACTCCTTCCTTGATTTGTGCTGGGGACCAAGTGAGTGACGCAGCTGAAGTGTCTGGGCCACAGTAAGTGTTGCTCCTACTATGGACTACTGGCTTGGAGACCTTCTCTGCACACCTACTATGTACCAGACAAGTCCCATGTGATGTCAGTTAAGTCTCACAATAACCCCATCAAGAAGGCAATTTTCATCCATTTTACAGAAGTTAAGTTACCTGACTTGACCAAGGTCACTGCTGTGCAGTAGCAGATCTGGGATCTGAACCCAGTCTCCAGACTCTGTGTGCCATGTCATTCAGGTCATACTTCAGTGATTTTCATGCTGGGTGCCCCAGAGGCTGCTGAGGTGCAAGCCATGGGGGGAGGAAAGGAGGTCACCTACAAAGGAGGCTGCACTACTGGGTTCCAGTTCATCCAGGGACAGGAACGAGAGGGAGACAGGAATGGGGACCCTGAGCAAGTGGGAGGCAGAGCTTGGGGGAAAGATGCCAAGAGAAGAGGCCTAGAGAGAGGAGATGACAGGAAGAGGGAAAGAGAGACAGACCCGGGGACCCAGTGTTACAAGGAGAAATAGGACAAAGAGAGATGAAAAGACAGGAAAGGAGACAGGCAGACTTTCTTAGGACAAAACGCTTCTGCAGGCCTCCTCTCCCATCTCAGCAGGCCTGAGACATGAAGTTTTCACCCTCCCAAACAGCCCCCCAATATCTGCCCATGGTCCCACGATGCATCCTGCCGTCTCTCAGTCCAGCCACCCAGGGCAGGTGGGTGCTGTGGGTCAGACTATGTGCTTGAAGCTGCCAGTGTGCCCCCACCCCACCTCAGGCTGAGCCTGGTACCTGCCCAGGACCCAGACATGCCCAGGTCAAGGGGACCCAAGGTCAAAGACATCTCCCACTGAGGGTACATTTATGTGGGAACCAACACAGCACTGGTGCTCAGACATGCAGGTTTCAGCATCAGTGAAATCTTGCTGTGAGACCTGGTGGCTCTGTGACCTTGGGCAAGTCATATCATTGCTCTGAGCCTCTTCCCACCTGTAAAAATGATAACGTAGTGCTCCTTTTAGGGCTGTGATTTTGTTGTGAGGGCTAAATATATGTAAAGTACTTAACGTTAAGCACCTGACACCTTATAAGTACTCAACAATTGATAGTAAAAACTTGAAATCTCAGCCCTGGGGACAGGTGTGGCCTAAAGGACACAGGTCAGGGAGCCTGAATTTTCCTTAACAAAACATCGCATAACCTCTCTGATAATATCCTCATCTGTGAAGTGGGCTGAAACTCACCCTCACCTGCCCACTTCACAGGGACAGGGGAAAGCTTTTGGTAAATTCTAACGTTCAGACAGTGGCATAATGGGGGTGACTCCCTCTCCAGAATAGATGCTCAGCTCCTTGGGTACCCCAGGAGCAGCTCTGGACTCCCGGAGGTCAGCCCACTGGATAGACACCCACCTTGGCTAGCTGACAATTCCTCAGCCACTGGCTGAATTAACAGCGCCCCCTGCTGGCCAAGATGAGGATGCCCCCAGTGAGGTCTCCAGGAGCCAGGGTGGTGGTGGGGTGGGGGTGAGAGTAAGGGGGACTCCTTTTCATATGGTGGTTTGTAGAACAGAAGAACAGAACTGCTCCCTGGGACTGCCTAGCACCCACCTACCGAGTGACTAAGCAACTGCAAATGCAAGGAGTACCCCATGGGCCAGTCTCAGACCAACAATAACCACGATCATTATTAACTGATGTGTACTAAATATCAGCTAATGTGCTAAGTGCTTTTTATGCATTATCATTCCACCCTCCTAATAACCTCTGGGGTTAACACTATTATTATAATACCTATTTTACATATGAGGAAACGGACTCAGAGAGGCTGGGTAACTTACCCAAGGTCACGCAGCTGGAAAGGGTGGAGCCAGTTTTGCTGCCCAGATCTGGCCATCCCCTGAGTCCTGCCACCTCCTATACAACCTGGACTTAGCTCAGAGAAGGTGACATTCATTGGGGGACAGGAATGCCATGCCATCTGGGACTGGTTGTAATGTGGGGATAGGAAGCAGCGGGCACCCTGGGAGGCATCAAGAGACCTAATGCTGCTTTGCCTACTTGGCTGCTCTGTGGCTTCAGGCCAGCCCCTTCCCTTCTGGGCCTCAGTTACCTCTTCTGTAGAGTGAGAGGGCTGGGCCACACGCCGTGGAGGCCCTTCCCGCCTCTGATTCATTCCACCCTCTCCCCACCTCCGTCAAATCTGTAATCTCGTGTATGACGTGTTTAGTCCACAGCCGTCTAACCAAAGCTTCTCAGCCTAGGGTTCTTGCACCCCATGAGGCCTGGAATTATAAGCAAAATTGCATGAGTGTGCGTGTGCCCAGTGTGCATTTTTCCAGGAAAAATGTTCATATTATTACCAGATTCTAATCTCAAAAGTCTGAGAAACACTGATTGTTCTAAACCTTTAGAACTTCCTTAAACTCGATATAAATTTTTAGGGGAATGAGTCAAGAAAATTGAGTCCCTACCATGTCAACTTCTTCCCTTTGCTTGTGTTTAAGTCCCCTAGCTTCCTGGAGCTGCCCCCACCAGCCCAGGCCCATGGCGACCTCCACCCTCTTTGCTTCCAGTTAGTCTCTGCCTGGATGCTGAAGCTCTGGCCTGCTGTCCTGTCCTTGCCAGTCTTCCTCACTTCCATGTCCTCCCCTGGACCGTCGCAGCGAAGACTGGGGGGTCTCATGAGGTAGGTGCATGACCAGGTTGGCCGGCAGGGGCCGCAGGGCGGACAGGCCCAGTGGGGTGTGGGCGGGTGGACTAGCGTCCTGTCTGTCATCTCAGCAGCCTGGGTGTGAGCACAGCATGGCAGCAGTCGGGAGGCCTGTGTTCTGGGTCTGGCCCTTCCCCTCCGTGGGCCTCAGTTTTCCCATCCTAAAGTGGATGGAGGTGGCCCAGAATCCCTGGATGGTTGCTTGGCAACCTTCCAACTCTGGCATCCTGTGGACCTTTCTGACTGATGCTGGGGGAGGGGACTGTCTTGAACTCCCCTTGGCAGAAGCAATTGGCCCAGCGGAATAGAACAAGATGGCAGGAAACAGGGCCCACCGTCCACAGCTTGAGGAGGAGTCTTAGCCCTGGGAGAAAGGAAGGCTCTAAATCACGTTGCCCCTAAGAGCTGCCTGGGGATGGTGATGGAAATGGAGACCCCACTGGAGGCTTCCCAGGGTTGGGAGGGCTCAGTCTGGGTGGCAGGTGACAGCTTCCAGGATACATATTCCATCCATCTCTGGAAGAGGCCAGGCAGGTGCTGGTGGGAGGAGAGAGAGCACCACGCTGCCCTCAGCTGCCGCAGGTCCTGGAGACGGGGCTGGGGCTTCGGCCATCCTGCTCGCTCAGCTGCTGGGGGGCTCTCCTGTCCCAGTTCTTCTTAACCCTCCCTCCCCACCAGCTGCTAATTCTGGGCCCAGCTAGCATAGCCAGGCAAAAGCCCAGGGATCAGGGTGGGGGGGTTGTCCCCGCAGAGACACCATGTGGAGATGCACAGGGTGGGGACTCAAGGACTCCTCCGAGGGACAGGACCCCGTCCTCACAGGCACAGGGAAGACCCTCTCCCACCTCCACCCTCTCTTCACACTGCCCCTCTCCCACCCTCAAATGATTAAGAACAAGACACGGGCGTGACCATGATGTAGAACATTCTCTACAAAAGTTATAATGAGCCCGAGAGAAGGGCTTGTTTTACAGTGGTGGGAACCACAGAGCCTGTCCCACCTCCGCACAGGGAGAACCAGCAAGAGGCTGAGAGTAAACGTGCAGGGAACAGGAGAGAAAGGGCAGCACCTGGGGCTCGGAGAAAGAAGAGTCGGCACCTGGGGGTGGCCCCAGCCTCAGGCCTGAAGAATAGGATGGCATGGCAGGCAGCCAAGCCCTCGGTGTCCTGAAGCGGGAAAGGGACCTGCTCTGGGCATGTGTGTGGATGGGGGCCCCCACACAGACGGACTAGAGAGAGGTCTTTGGGGGCTGTCTTTCCCCCACTCCAGGGAGGAGCTGGGGCCGTGGCCGTGCTCCCAGTAGGGGCTGCTTCCCAAGCCGAGGTCAGCAGTGGGCACTCCCACTGCTAGAGAGCTCTGAGGACACACCTCTGAGTACCCTCTGGGCAGGACTTTCTGGTCTCACCATCATCACAGAGCTGGGACGCAAGGTGAGCTCTGGATTACCCACCATCCATGCAGAAATATGCAGCAGCCCAGTCCCTTCCAGACCTCGAGGGAAACCCAACAACCAACCCCCAGCATGTGCATACACACACACACACAGAGACCTGGGGACCTGGGGACAATCGGCAGTTTAGGTTACCCACATCCTCCAGTGCCCACATCATAGGACTTGCCCAGTCTCTGCCTGTCGCAGGCCTGGGAGACTCTGAGGCAATTGGCAGATGCCTTTCTCTAGCCCACCATGTGCCCACCAGGCCTGGGGGTCATAATACTGCAGCCTGTTGTTCTAGCACCTTGTGTCCAGCTCCCTGACCCCCTTGAGTCCCTTTGGGGGGGTCAGGCTACACAACGGAGGAGGGAAGTCTGGAGGAAGACAGTCACCCCCACCCCACCCCAGCCCAGCTCTCCAGCTCCCAGCCTTGGCCAGTGGATGAAGGGGAAGGGGGCTGGCTATGCACATGGACGGGATGGGGACTGCAAGTCAGGACATTTGGCTGAAGAGTCTGGGCGGGGAGCCTCCCCTCTGGGGTGCATGGGGGGAGGGGAGGCAGCGCCAACTCTTCCCTTCACAAAAATGTAGGAAACCGGCAAGTCTCCAGCCTGAGCACGAGAGAGAACAGAACCCTCAGAAGAGGGGTGGGAGAGACAATGGCTCCTAGGACAGGCCATGCACCTCCCCCCATACACACAATCCCATCCAGCTCCGCTGCCCCTGCCCTCCCTCCAGGACTGGCCTTCCACAAATCTGCATGTCCTTTAGGGCCACTCTGATGGAGGTGGCTCAGGGGCTCTGGGTCCCCTCAGAACTGTTGTTCTGGGCCATTCTCTTGCCGCTCTGGGTGCCTCCAGGCCACACCCTCTGCTTCGGGGTGTGAACAGGCTTTCGAAGGAGGCCACCCATATGGTCCTTGCTCCTGGGGGCGGGGGCTGCAGGGCTGGCGACTGTGAGGTGAGGACCTCATGGCCCCACCGCGGGTTGTGGCAACTTGCAATTCATTTTGGTCTGGGGAGAGGAACTCCCGGTTATCTGTGGAGGAAGAGACAGAAACAGACCTCAGGTGAGGGCCCTCAAAGACACCATGCTCAATCGGGTCATTTTGTTAGCCTTCCCCTTTCTGGCCAGACTGATAGTCAGGGATGCAGACATGGGTCTAAGGGTGACCTCCCCATTCCCCCAACTCCAGACTGCCTCCGCACACCCATCCCTGGCCCAGCCATCAAGGGTAAAGGCCACAGATACCAAAAAGGTGGACAGCGTTTACTGGGCTCGTGGGGTGCCATGGGGGAGGGACCAGCCTCTGTCAAGTATGGTGGCTTTTTGAACATGAACATGACGATTCTGCCTCCAAGGCTGCTCTTGGCCCTGCTGGGAGCATTTTCCTGATTGCAGGGTTCAGGGACAGCAGGTAAAAACATCTGCCTTGAGGGCTTGGGCCATTGAGGACACCACTGGCTGTCGCACCCTCCATCCCTGGAAAGTCACCTTGTCCCCAGGCTCTAGGGCCACACAGAGCAGGATCAAGCTCAGCTGCACCCCGAGCAGCAGCAGGACGTGGAATGAGCTATTCTAACACCCGGAGCCTCTACTTGCTCATCCGTTGTAACATGGGATGATGTAGCCTCCACGCGCAGGCGTTCAGGAGGATTAAACGAGAGGACTCGTTCAAGGGAGAGGACTTGTTCAAGGGCATAGCCTAGTACCCAGGGGGTGGGCAGGCTCCAGAACACCCTAGCTGTGATTGCTATGACTACCATAACTCATCCACACGGAGGCCCAATTTTTCACATTTTGATACTTCCAAAACTGAGGTGCATTCTACATTAGCTGTGATAAGAAAGCCTCCAATCATCATGGAATTAGCAGTTTCTTTTTCTGAGCTGGTAGTAACTTAAATAGTGGGGCCTCTTGCAATTGATAGCAGCTTAGATTTTATGAAATACGGTATCATGCCCCCTCCCACTCCTGAAAAAGCAGACACCCCCACCCCCGACCTTTCAACTCCCATCCCCCCATGCGCTCTTAGGCCGGGCACTCACAACTCTGTGTCCGCCAGGGCGGGCGGCCGCTCCAGCGCCTGCCTTCGCCTCCGCACGGCCCCCAAGATCTTCTTGCGGGGCCCCAGGGGGACGCTGATGCTGCGGAGGTCGAGGTCAGAGCACAGCATCAGCGCCTCCAGGTCGATCTTCTCCTGCCGCAGGAGGGCGGCAAAGTCCTCCATGTGCAGAGAGGCCAGGAAGGTCTCCAGCGGGCTGGTCTCGGGCTCCAGATCCTCGTCCAGGCCCAAGTCCAGCTCGTCCCAGGGCAGCTCCTCCCCGCAGCTGCGGTCCTGCAGGCTGTTGGCACTGCCCAAGCTGTCGTCGTCCAGGCTAGGGGGGCTCTGCAGCCGACCCCGCGGCGTGCCCGTCCCATCCAGCCCCCCGTCCTCGCGACTCAGCCCATGCAGCCCGCTGCCCAAGTAGTTCCTGCGGAACACCATGGTGCCCAGGCCGGGGCGGGTAAACAAGGAGTCGTGGCCTGAGTCGGTGCTGACCTCCGAGTGGGCAGGCTCGGCCGCCAGCGTGGCACGGGAGACGCTGTCCTCATCCGAGAGGAACATGTCCCGGAGCGGGGCACGGCCCCACTCCTTGGGGTTGGCGTAGGTGCCCTGGCGCACGAACATCACGTCGCTGCCCAGCTGCAGGCCCGAGAGCGAGCGGACGCTCTTGCGGCCGTCCTCGGAGACCTTGAACGTGCCGTCGCCGCCCTGCTTGCGCCGCTCCAGCTTCTTCTGGATCTTGGTCTTGCCCCTGGCGGTGCCGTGCAGCGTGGCCTGCGAGTAGGGCAGCGGGCTGCCCAGCGCCAGGTGCTGCAGCCGGCGGCTCAGGGTGCTGGACGTGAGGCTGGAGAAGCTGAGCGTGTCGGAGCGCTCGGCCAGCTCGCGCCGGTAGCGCCGCTCCATGCGCTCGTGGTGCTTGCGCTGCATCTTGGCGCACTCGCGGATGCGCCGCTCGGCCTCGCGGAAGGCCTTGTCCTTCAGCTTGCCCACCAGCTTGGGGTTGAGGCTGCTCTGCTTGGCCGCGATGGAGTCCAGGTAGCGCACGCACTCCATGTGGCCCTTCATGGCGGCCATGTCCAGCGGCGTGTGGTAGTCGTTGTCCAGGCACCAGATGTTGGCCCCGAAGGACACCAGGAAGGACAGGCAGTGCAGGTGGCCATTGGCAGCTGCCAGGTGCAGGGGTGTGTTGCCCCAGATGTCACACTTGTCCGGGTCACCCCTGCAGGGAGAGTACGAGGGGAGGGATGATGAGACGTCGCAAGCTGGGGCAGACAGTCTGCAGGGGCTGGTGGGGGAGGGGGACAGTGGGGGCGGGGGCCCGGGAGGCGAGTGGAGGACTCCCCGACTTGTTAAGTCTTCCCACAGGCACACCAGGCCCCAAAGGGACCCGTGGGCCTGAGACCTCTGCTCTGACTCCAGGAGACCTGCAGGTCTGAGCCACCAAACGGAGCCGGAGTGAGCCCGGGGAAAACTGGCCCCAGGCACGCAGGGGGTGGGGCGACAGAGAAGGCGGGGCCGGGGCGGGGCCTTCCCCAAGATGACTGAGGGCTGGGAATCTCAGGGGATAAATATTTGATGCCCAGAGAGAAAGGAGTGAATTATTCATGGGGCCCAGCGGGGAGCTGGCCCGGTGAGGTGGTGGGCCTGGGCCGAGTCCGGGTCTCCAGGCTGGCGTGGTGGCGAGTGTAGCTGCGTGTTGCAGAGTGACCATAAAAGAGGACAAGAGAGTGGTGTGTGCTGGGCCTGAGCCCTGGCTGAGTGCGTGAGTGTGTGTTTGCGTGTCGGCGGGCACGGCCATGTCTGCAGGGAGCAGGGCCAGGCCTGGCAAGCCTGAGTGTGAGAGAAGGTGTTGGGTCTTGGCCTGGGCCAGGAGGGGAGTGTAGGGGCAGCCAGGACTGGAGGGGAGGAGGAGGGAAGTCAGCTGCCTGGGCCAGGCCGCCCTCCCTCCCCGGAGCTGCCCCATCCTTGGGAGCCCTGTGAGGCTGGCTGGCTTGGACCTGTCCAGATGCCCCAAAAGTCCCCCCAACACCCTCCACAGCAGACTGTGCCCCCCTCCCCCGGGGCAGGCTCCCACTGGCTCCTCCAGGACTCCCGCCTCCCTCAGGGGCTTAGCACAGCACCTCTGCCCCAGCTAATGAGGCCACAAGGCCACCCTCCAGCGCTGGGGGAAGAATCACTCCCTTGTCTCAACAGCTCTCTGCACACCCCCCTCGTCAGCTTCCCCTCCTGAGGCCAAGTCCTGCAGGATGATGTGGGGACGGGCTGCTGGGCATCTGGCCCACACCCTGTCAAACACCAATCCTTGCCCTCTGTAGGAGTTGGGGGGGTTGGTGCACCCAGGGGAGCCCTCTTCCTCTTCCCCCAAGAGTCTTCCGAAGGGGGGTAAGAGTTGCTGTGTGTCCTCCGGGGGTGGGGAGGAACCGGTCTGTCTTGGCCTCTTGGAACATGGCTCAGCTGACTGGTCTTAGGTGTTGCTCCCACCTGCTGCTGGGTCCAAGGAGAGCAGAGAGGGCAAGGCCAGTTCCCCCACCCAGCACACGCCCCAAGGCCAGCTGGAGCCCCTCTCTCTTAGGGCCTGAGATGTTCATATTAACCCTCCTGGGGCATGTGCTTTCCCTTCTTCCACCCCCTTTCCTCTCCAGGCTGCCCCAGTGTCCAGGCCAACGTGGCTTCTCATTATAAAACTGCTCGGGGTGAGGGGGTTCTTCACAGTAGTGTGATTTAACCCCAGGGAACCCACTTCAGAATGCTCTGGACGCTGCATTCCTCAGCTGCTACCTCCAAACCCCCTGTCTGGCCTTGACGCCTGGACTCTATGCCCACTCCTCTCCCCAGGCCAACTCTGGAGGCAGAGGGAGGGGTGAGAAGCCCCTTCAAGGGGCTTCAGCCTCCCTATTGCTTAGCTGTGCCCTGCAGTGGGGGAGGGACACAGAGAGAGTTAATGGGGTGGCTGACCCAATGACATTTGGTACTGTGGACAGTGCCCATAAATCCCAGGAATGAGAATGAGGGAGAGAGCTGTGTGAGACCCAGCCTGCAGGGAGGTGTGGGTGCTGGCTGGGAAGCCCCTCGGATCCAAGTCTGGGGGGTGGACAGTGAAGACCCTCTCCTTTCCTAGCCCCCACTCTGGCCCCTCTGAGACTTCTCAGCCTTCTCTCTGGTTCTCACTATGCCCCTCACTCTTGCTTCCAGCTGCCCATCACCCTGGAGATCCCTTCCACCTGTCCCTGACTCTGCAGCACCCCCCAACAATCAAAGACCCCCAAATCCCAGTTCCTCCTCTCCTAGCCCCACACCCAGGTGACAAGTATCACATGCCTCAGCTTCTGTCCCTATCCACGTGTGTCTCCTCCCACGAATGCTAGGTTCCCAGGTCCCACCTCAGGGTCTGCCTGTAGGAGAAACAAGCATCTCAGAGGAGTGGGACAGAAGATGCCATGGGGTCTAGGGAAGGTGTCTCAGGGGTCTGGAGCAGCGCTGCGAGGCTCTTCCCCCTCCCCTGCTGGGCTGGGTGGAGGGGGACTCACCCGCGACTCACGATGAGGCGCAGCGACTCCAGGTTGCCATGGTAGGCAGCCCAGAGGGTGGGAGTCATGCCATCCTCGTCGGGGGCATTCAGCTCCTTCCGGGTGGCCTCCTTGAGGAGCTCCAGGTAGCCATCCCGAGCCGCCCGGTGGTACTGGTCGTTCATGGCTCCGTACTTGGACGGGGCGGGCAGGGGGCACGGGGAAATGCCCCCCGCAGGGGAGGGCGGCCGGGTTAGGGCTGAGGCATGGGGTTGGGGGAGGGGCCCGGGCAGGGGCCGGGGTCGCCAGCCCCCGCTGCCGCAGACGGAGGGTGCGGAGCGCCAGAGCCGCGGCTACTGGGACATCTGAGCCGCTCACCCGGCGGTGGGGGGGGCGGGGGTGGGGGCGGGGGGCGCCCGCCCCCGCTGCCGCAGACGGAGGGTGCGGAGCGCCAGAGCCGCGGCTACTGGGACTTCTGAGCCG